CCAATTGTATATTGTTATTGTTTTTTCCTGCCTTACACTTTTCTTTGTCTCCCTTCACCCACATTTCTGTTATTCGTCCCCTTTGGCGGGTTGGTGATGGATATATATATATATGAATCTGGATATATATATCCAGTCTTGTGATGGGTTCCCCCTTTTCTCACCCTTCCCCCTCCCTGACCATCCCCCTAGCCTCATGATGTTGCTATTCCCATTGCTGTTCCTGAGGGGTTTATCTTTCCTGAATTCCCTGTGTTGAGACCTCTTCTTGAAGTTGTATTAGATGTTTTTCTGTTTTTTACTATATTAAATGGAAGACTAATGAACTTAAAGGGACAGCAAGTAGAATAAGGGTTTCCAGGGGTAAAGTGGTGGTGGGGCGGTGTAAGAGGGAAACCATGCCAGGAGTACAGGAAGAAAAAGAATGCTTGGAAACTGATTGTTTTAGCAATTGTACAATTCTGCTTGATGTGATTGAACTATGGAATGATATATGTATTAACTCCCAATTAATAATCTATATATCAAAAGAAGAAAGACTAAATTAAAAATAAAACACAAAATCCTGCTTTCCTAAAGCTCTGGGTTCCTTGGCCTAGGCCCTGTGGACAGAATCAAATATGTGTCCCCCAATACACACTGTAGGAAATAAAGATGCTCAGATCTTAGTGGGTGGGGGCATAGGACAGCAGTTCAGGGACAAAGGATGTACAACACTATCAGGTGTTTATCTTTAAAATCCAGGATGATTGGTAAAGCTGACTGATGGTGCATTAGTTATTTACCCACAAAAAGACCATTTGGATTCTCTACCCCCTCTCTCCTTTGATGAACACGATTCTCCCTCTTCTTCCATTGAAAAATACATAATGCTTCCAGTCCATTTGAAACAGGTTGGTAGAATAGAGATACCGGGAGAGAGAGGTTGCTTTGGGAAGTGATAGTATTTTTCCCCCCTAGGCTGCCCTTGTTACTCTCATTGCTAAAGTTATTCTGAATTAGCTGCTGTGTTGCAGCAGATTTGGCCTCTTCTGGGCTGCGGGGGGGTTCCCCTTAGAAGATGGAGCAGCCTCAGTCCTTCTCAGGTTTTGAGACCAAGGTTGGGGCCCCCTTGATTTTTGTTGCCTGGGCAGCAGGAGTTGTGGGAACCTTGGTCTTTTGGGGGTTCCTTGTACCCTTATCCTTGGTATATGCTTTAGTGGGTGCTGTGGTCTCAGCCTTGGCCTCCACACTGGTGCAGGTACCTGGGGGCAGACCTGCTCTCAGTCCGTATCCATCAGGGGCTGGTGTTTGGCCTCTGCTGCGCTCGCCATCTTTGTGGGCACCACCTCTGGTGCTTTTTTCTTTGCTCGGCTGTGTCTTTGTTGCCTTTGCTTGGGTCTTGTTTGCAGTGACCTGGATGCCCTGCTTTGGCTTCTTCGTGTCAGTGGTCTCAGCTGCCATATCTAGCCATGTTAATGTCTTCAGCAAATATCCAAGTAGTTACCTAAATGCATTGCAGTCTGAGAGAGAAGAAAGAGTAATTGTGACTTGCCCACTTTCAAAATCACTGCTGTTTCTAGGTTCTCCTTGTAGTACTTTCTTAATAGAAGTAATACATGCTTGTTGGACCAAAAAAAATGGAAAACGGGGGGGAAAAAAACTATACACATCCCATACCCTGGTGATAGAGATAACCACCAACTACTTTTGTATATTCACAAAAATAGGAGAAATACACATTATAAGTTAAATCTTACAATTTGTACTTTTTTACAGTCCCTTAACAATATTCATATACCAGTGTCTTGTAAAACGTACTTCAGTGATTGGAAGTAGTACCAGAGGAGTTCGCCGAACCTCCTAATGTTTCCTGTTCTGAGCTCATCAACCAAAGGAAAGGCTATCTAAGGATTGGAAATATATTGTTTTTATTGATCCATTATGGCTTTAAGTATAGCTTTACTACCTGAGCCTTACTTTGTAAAGTATGAGTTCTGCCTCATTTGCACAATTTGTGAATGCAGTTATATTTTGTCCATTTCGAGGTTTGTAGTACTAGTCTGCTCATGTTCCCACGTGCGTATGGTTCTGTTATGAATGAGCCACAACTTACCTGTTTATTGTACAGTCTATAGAATTTAAGATGCTTCAAATTTAGATTATGTGCTTGTGAATATTTTGCTAGGCTTATTCTATTTCCCAGCTTTAAACACTCCCGGACAAGAACTGTAGTGAGCCAAACTTAAATTTACTAGAACATGGCAGTGTTCCTTACGAATTCCCTTAATAAGCACCTCTATATCTGTCTGTCTCTCACTCACACACCCAGTGCCATTGAGTCAGTTCCGAGTCACAGCAGCCCCACATAGGATTTCTGAAGCTCTGTAAATCTTTTGGGAGCAGACATTTTATCTTTCTTCCAAAGATCGGTTGGTATGTTTAAACCTCCAACCTTTCAGTAAGTAGTTCAAGGCTTACCCAACAGCACCACCAAGGCTTGTGTGTATGTGTGTGTGTGTGTGTAATATGTTTTCTTGGCAATATATGGATTATTGAGTTGCTTAAATTTTGTTTTTAAATTATCCTGCAGTAACCTGAACCTGCTTGAATACTCACAGGATCTGTTTTCCCACTGTTGAACTATTTTTCTGTGACTTACTATGGTTTCTTTATATTGTTTGATAATACATTTTTCACTAATATGCCTTGCCTCCTATGCATATAAAAGTTAGACATTGAATAAAGAAGATTGAAAAAGAATTGATGCATTTGAATTGTGGTGCTGGAGAAGAATATTCAAAGTACCTTGGACTGCTGAAGGACAAACTGATGTACCTTGGGAGAAGTATGGCCACATGCAGTGGGCATGTGATCCGGAGAGAGCAGCGCCTGGAGAAGCACATCATGCTTGGTAACTTAGAGTGAGGGGCAGCAAGAAAGAGGCAGGCCCTCAACAAGAGGAGTTGACACAGTAGCTCCAACGTAGCAACAGTCAGGAGGCTGGTGCAGGACAGTGTTTCACCTTGCTGTGCCTCGGTTGCTATGGGTCGGAACCTACTTGATGGCACCTAACAATGAGAACTTGTATTGAGATTTTTTTTGCTAGCATGTAGCTTTGATACTGACATTTTGCTGCCCTTTAATAAATGTTTCTGGATTTTAATATGGGAGTGTAAGTCAAAATATATCACTACAAAATCATAGCAGCCACAGTTTCCTCATTTCTTTAGATGAATGATCTTGATTCATCTTTGAAATCTTGACCTTTCTTAAAACAAATGGTTTCTCTAAAAACGACTGTTTTGTGTGTGGCAGAATACCTGTAAATTTAATGCAAAACTTTAGTGATTTGGAAAGAACCGATTTAGTTCTATAAAATACATTGCCCTCGGTATCATTTTTCCCCAGTAGCACTAAGAGTGCCCCCCCCCCCAAGTGACCCGATCAAGACTGAGACAAGTGGATTACTGAGATAACTTGTCTACAATTATCTACTGATCGCAGAGACATGTTTGAACACATTTTCTTTCTAATAAAATGAAATAGGTATGAATTGGACCAAGTAGCAATACTTACATACCTTCATAATCAAATTTGTCAGTTTCTTATGTCTTGCTCAGATTTTAAAATAAATTTTCTCTATTCTGACAATTTTGTTCATATGCTTTCCCCCCCGCCCCCTTATTTTTCAGCAGTATTTTCTCTCTCACAAGGAGTCCTGGTGCCATTGTGGGTTCCCAGTTGGGCTGTAAGGTTAATGGTTCCAGGCCACTGTCTACAGATGAGAAGTGAGGCATTGTACTCCTCTACAGATTGACAGTTCTGCTCTGCTATGTGGGGTGCTGTAAGTCGGTATGTTAGACAGGGTTCTCTAGAAAAAACCAGAATGCTAATAATTATATATGTGTGTATATATTATATATATGTATATATATATATAGATAGATAGATAGATAGATAACATAAGAAATAAACATTAATTAATCTATAAAGCAGTACAAAATGGCTCAATGCAACTCACTCCATGAGACAGTTGTGAGATACTGGCAGTCCTTCAGGTCTTGAGGGTCCTCTGTAGAGCAATTCAGGTTATCAGGCCATAGGCAGCAAATAGCAAGGCAGGTAGGTCACCAACAATCAGCCAGATGACAGGGTCTGATAGTCCCCAGTTCAAGGGTTGTATATTCCAATGGTGTGGCAAAGCAGGTCTTAAAGGAACCTCAAATTACAGCAACACAGTCCATGGGTTAGGTGTCCCACAGGTAGTGTAGCTTGCAAATTGAGGCACAGAACAAGCAAGGCGGTCGCACACTGGTCCGATGATCAAAGAGCAAGAGACAAGAAAAGCAAGGCTTGCCAAGCCATTTATCTCTCTACCCTTCAATTAATCCCACGTGTTCATTGGCCAGGTTGGCACAATAAACGTTAACTATCTCAGTCGGCATTGACTCGATGGCAATGAGTTGTTTCTTTCTCACAGGTCAACTTGCAGGATTGAGGAGGGCCAGCTCCCAGGCGGCTTTTTTTATTGTTTCTTTCCAGTGATCTATTTGTATACCCTGTTCCTATTACTATACTGTTGAATTTAGTATAGACACTTTACACACATACATGAAGGAGCACTGGTGGGGGCTGTGGTTAAAGTGCTTGGCTGCTCACCTAGATGTTCCCACCTAAATCTGAGAAGTCAAATTTATGTGGGCCTTTTATGTACAAAATAGATAGTAGGTTTTTTACTATTTCTTAAAATGCAAATTATCATATAATTTTCAATAAACAAGGAGCTGTTAGTTGCCATGGAATCAATAGTAACTCACAGCGACCCTCTGTGCAGCAGAGCAGAACATTTCCGTCCTGCGGCATCCTCCCAATTACCATGTTTGAGCCCACTGACGCGGCAATTGTGTAAAATTCTCATTTAAGGCATTTCCACACATGCATGTGCACACAGAAACATATGAACATACCATATACTTGGAAAAGTGCCCATTTAGTATTTCTTAGGACATCTTTGCTGTTTCTGGAAATTTGTACTTCCATTAAAACTTTTGAATTTTCTTTATGTGTGTGATGTGCTATTAAAAAGCTGAACATTACAAATTCTTTGGAAATAGCATCAATTTGGGATCAGCAGTATTTTAAAAGCATGCTTTCTATTTAAGTCTATTCTAACAATTTGAATGTTTAATATTTTATCATTTTTATTATGATTCCTTATTTAATTACACTTAATATGTTTATCTTTGGTCCCCCCTCCAATTCATTTTAAATTATTTAATACTAGTATGTGTAAGTACAAGTAAACCTTCCTTTAATATTTTGTAACTTGAAAATCATGAGTGATCGCAACATGATTTTGCAGCCTGAGAAACAGTTGCTAATTGCTTGCTCTAATCAGATCACAAGATGAAAGGTGATTTGGTACAACAGAATGAAGCATTGCCTGGTCATGTGCCATACTAACAGTTGTTTTTCTTGAGCCCATTGTTCAAGCAGTATGTCATTCCATATTAATCCAGGCTTTTCCCTCTTTTTTCCTGTATTCTCCTTTTCCAAGCATGATGTCGTTTTCCAGGCACTGACCTCTTTTGATAATATGTATGTAAGGCAAAGTCTTACCATCCTTGCTTCTAAGGAGCATTCTGACTATACTTCTTCCAAGACAAATGTTTGTTCTTCTGGAAATCTATGGTACTTTCTGGATTCTGCACCAACACCATAATTCAAATGCATCGGCTCTTCCGTCTTCTTCACTGCCCAACTTTCACATGCATATGAGGCCATTGAAAATAGGGCTTGGGTCAGACGCACCAAAATCTTGGAAGTGACATCTTTGCTCTTTGACATTTTAAATCGGTTTTGTATAGCAGATTTGTCCAGTGCAAATTCTCCTTTGATTTCTTGTTTGCTGCTTCCATGAGCATCGATTGTGAATCCAAATATAAGGAAATCCTTGGCTACTCCAATCTTTTCTCCATTCATCACGAAATTCTTTATTGATTCAGTTGTGAGGAATTTGATTTTCTTTACATTGATTGTAGTCTGTACTAAAGGCCACAGTCGTTGCTTTTCATCAGCAAGTGTTTCACTTCGTCCTCGGTTTGAAGTTTGTGTCAGATCACAAGCTGTTAATAAGCCTCCTCCAATCCTGATGCCACAATTTTCTTCATATGGTCCAGCTTCTCAGATGATGTGCTCGGGCTGCAGATTGACTTAGTATGGTGAAAGAATACAAACCCTGACGTGGTCTACTTTACCAAGTACATGTACTCTACTCTACCTTCCCGATTGTAAATCATGCAGTATCCATTTGTTCTGCTTGAACAACTGCCAGATGGACAGCTTGTGTATGAGTACAGCGAAGTGTTCTGGAATCCTTATTCTTCTCAGTGTGATCAAACCAGTCTACTACCTTTGTAACATTTCCATGTTCTCTTGAGTTTAGGAACAAAATGAACTTTGAATGGGCAAAAGCAGGTTGTAGGGTGGTTGGGGTCTTATTCTCCTCAGCCAACAGTCAAGTCTCTCTCGAGTTCCTTCCTAGCCTTTCAGCCATGTGGTCCTTCGGTTCTGCTCTGCCCCACAATCCCATGGCCTTGAGGCTATTCCTCTGCTCTGGCTGATGCCTCTGCTACTTTATATAGGGATCTTGAATGTACTGCGCTGGTAACCCACCCTTCTTTGATGTTCCTGGGATTCCTCTCCTCCTGCTTCAAAGATGGCTCATTCTTTTTTTTCAGTTATACATGGTGGTTTTATTAGGTGCAGGTCCCAGTGTAGGCCATAATCATAACTCTTTCAAATCTGAAATGTCATCTCCTTTTGAATAAAATACAACCTCAAGGTGGCTCATTCTTATAACTAAAACTGACTAGTCTGTTCTATTGGTGTTTGCGTAGCCCCTCTCCAGTCATTTGGTGGTCGTCAGAAACATGGATAAATGCCATTTTACGGAATTTCACTCTATTATATGTTTAACTTTGCTTGTTTGAAATGCCATCCATGTATGAACTAGAACCCTAGCACCTATACTTTTTACTTAATTCTTGTAGAGATCAGGAACCCAAGTGGTAGCATGGGTTGTGCATTGGGTTGCTAACCGCAAGGTCAGCACTTCTAAACCACCAGCCACACTGCAGGAGAAAGGTGAGGCTTTTCTTGTCCATAAAGACTTGCAATCTTGGAAATATAATGGGGCAGTTCTACTCTGTCCTGTAGGGTTGCTGTGAGTTGGAAGAGACTCAATGGCTATGAGTTTGTGTCTCGTCAGTAGCAGTAACACTGCAATTGGTCATAGTTAAACTGGAGAGATAAGCTTAGTGTGTTTGAAATGTTAAAGCTTTCCAGGAAGATAAAACTAGTCCAGAGGTAAATGTAAACAGCAAAGGACAAGTTGGAAGTCTAAACTCTGGGAAGAACACAGAACTCTGTGTGCTCTCCCTATAAATCTTCTTCCCCTGGACTGTCAAGTCCACCCATCCTTTTGCACTCATCAGGGAATATGGCATCTTGCTTACCCAGAATATGTGTGATGTTTTAGGATTCAGTGGTATTTGAGGATGTGGCCATAGACTTTACCCAGGAAGAGTGGGCTTCACTGAATTTTGCTCAGAGGGAACTTTACAGAGATGTGATGGTGGAAACCATCAGGAACCTCGACTCAGGTAGGGATGGCTTCATTTTCCTATTTTATTTCTTTGAAAAGAAAATATGTTGTTCTCTGACCTCTTCCAGATTTGGGGCTGAGGAATGTGAAGACATTGGCAAACCTGGCACACATTTTACATGACCTCTTGAACTTAAACTTTAATGGCTTCCTCATGAAAATAAACATCTTAAATGTAAAGCTCTATTTCTGTTGTACTTAAAGCATTGAGGCTCTTTAAGTGTTTTATATAAGAGAATTGGGGTCAGGCATCAGGTTTAGGGCAAAGGAAGATGTGTGGTTTAGGACCTCATTAGACTTTTAGTGTGCATAGTATCAAGTCTATGTACGCAACTCTCCATCTGCATGTATTTGTATGGGTCAGCACATGGTTGGTCCTTATGAGGTGGGTGTTATAGATAGCCCAAATGTCCACCTATTCCATTTGCTATACCCTCCCAACATGTCAGATATCAGCTTTCCTCCCAGTATTCTGCCTCACATCCTTTGATTTGATAATTTGGTGGAACTTCCTGCAGAACTCAACAAGGAACTGGTTCTACTATGTGGGAGGCAGGCAAGTCCCGATCTTTGTGTCAAACATGAGTCTGGAAGATTCTCATCACTCATGTAGCTGCCGGGTCTGATGAACTCAAACTGGCAGATCAGATGCTAGGCTGTTGACTCACAAGGCTGTAGAACCTATTGAATCAAGTCAGATGGTAGTGTGCTTTGTTAAGTCCCCAAAACTGGAGGCCAAATGAAGATAAGCCAAATGCAGAATCCAGAGAACGAAAGTGAATCTTGCCCAGAGCACTCCTACATACTGGATGCAAATTATAGCTCCAAGGAAACTAAGGATAGTCCATTGAGTCACACACTCTAGTAAGGTGTCCACTCAAGATAGCTCTCACCTTAGTTCTGCCTCACTCCAAAGTGAGACCATAACACAATAGAACCTAGGATTCACAGTACATCACAATATGAAGGACTATGGCTAGAAATGTCATGTTAAGTAATTCATCTTACCACATAAACTCAAGAGACCCTGGATGTGTTAGGCCGGGTTGACTAGAGAAACAAATCCAGAGAAACTCATATGTGTAAGAAAGGGCTTTTTATCAAGAGGTCATTATTTATCAAGAAAACATCTCAGTCCAGTTCAACTCAAGTCCACAAATATCCCATACTAGTCCATAAGTGCCTTTTCAGACACATGAAGCCACTTGCAATCGTGTAGAATGCAGGAACATCATCGGCCGGTGGGTGCAAAGTCCTGTGAATCCAAGGACAGGTGTCTCTGTCAGCTCTCCACGTTTCACGATAGTAGGAAGGTGAAGATGGGGTTGTTCCTAAGACCCTCTTTATGAGGAGGTCACCCCCACAAGGAGTCACCATCAGGCTATGACCTGATTGACAGGCTAAACTCCCTCCCCTTCGTGAAGTTGACACGCAATCATGCAACTACCACACTGGAGAACAAAGTCTTGGAAATGTCAAGGATATCGGCACCTTTCTCCGTGCTCATGATATGCCTTTCTTGATAAGCCACACTATAACAGCCACATTAATTCCCCAATTTGAGCAAGGAAAATATCCAAGGAGATTGCTTTGCTTCAATGGAATTACATTAGAGGAAATCAATTCCAAAAATCTCTAATTCTTTGAGGAGCTGGACTTCCCCAATACATGAGCTGACTTTATCAGTCATCTCTTGCCTTCTGTCTCATGGAAAAAGCCTTCCCCTGTTATCTTTTAATTTTCCCTTTACACACATGCCTGTCTGCAGTATTGTTCAATGTTGCACTCCTAGTTATACCCTTGTTTGATCACCCTCACTCCTAGTGAATATGAAATTTCTCAGTAAATTTCTTATGCTTGGGCCTTTACCAATAATCTGGAATAGCTAAATTGCCTCAGTATTTCTGTTTTCATAGGTGCCTTGTCCCTTGTTCCTCATCAAATTTCCTTTCTGTTTTCCTATATATTTTGAAACTCCACTTCAAATTATTGGGTCAGTTTCTCAACGGGATAATAATGGACAAGAGAGGTTCATTGAACATAAAATGATGCGATTCCTGGAGAATGACTGCTGGTTGTTAAGAGAAAACTATGAATTCCATGGCAGTGAACATCACCACAACCACCAGGAAAGGCCTTTGAGGTATCAATCCTAAAACATTAACCAGTGCCTTCAGAAAAACCTCTCAAATGTGTCCTGACATTTGTGTGTATGTGTGTGTTTATGAAACTAGCTTAAGTGTTTGCAGTCAGCCAATTTTCGTAGCGTAATATTTTTGTAAATATAAATCAGATACTGAGTATTTGAGTCAGTTCAATTCCCTGCTCTTGACCTCTTGGCATTTTGCCTTTTTAATGTATTACATCATTACAGGAATCTTTTAACAGTTCATTAGCATATAATTCATGTATCAAACAAGTCATTGGGTTAAAGATATTAAAAAGTTCTACAGTCATCACTGCTATCAATTTTAGAACATTTCTTCATTCTTGTACTCATTATTAGCATCCTATTATTCCTCAACCTCCCCTGCTGTAACCACAAAGAACTTATTAATATAGTTACTCTCTGTGGCTTTTACCTATCCTGGATTTCATATAAAGAAAACCACACAAAAACCCAAACAATGACAACAAAACAAAATAGAAAAACAAACAAAAGAGAATGTAGAAAATAATAGAAACTAGGACAGATTTAAACCAGGTTGAAAGGGAACACAAACATCAAATTGTAACCTAGCTATATATCCAGTAATCCACCTTGCAATGCACTCCGAGGGCAAGACTATTTACATCTCTTGTCAATGGTCCAAAGGAGTTGAATGGATTCTTAATCCACCTGGGGACCCTGCAAGTGAATTTTGAGCTTTCATGGCCATTTATAGCCTTCCACAAACCAGGTCCTCAGAATTTTAAGCTCTATTACAAGTTCTTCCTCAGATCGTGGATTTTATAAGTACTTACAGTCTTCGGATCACATGGACTGGTGTGCACCTTCCATGTGGACTTGGCAGACACCTTACTTAGTTGGATGCTTATTTTGAAACAAGCCTTTAAGACCCCAGACACTATTCTCGGATAGCTGGGTTCCATCTTGGTTTCTTCAACACTCTGCTACAATGCATATCTAAAGTGATCATACCATGGGGATAAGTTTTGAGCAGGGTTACATTATAAGAACTAACTGTTATTTGATTAGGGCTTAGGGTAAAGGGCAAGCTCAAAATCCATTTGTATTTCTAAAGTTGACATATATCCCTGTTCCACTTTAGTGGCAGTATTATTAACTTGTTGAAAAGTAATTTAATCTCCATGAGACATTTGGTAATTCTGATAATTCTAATTCATTAATCTAGACAGTGGTATAGATTTTAAAGTTCTATTCAGAAAGGGGAAATAAACATGTATATGAAAGCTTTTTAGACTAAAATACATGGTTGTTCACAAGTTAAAAACTGAACTAACTGAACAATGTGTTTAAAACAGCAGCGATGGTTAAACACAAGGCAAAAATTTCAATAACGCTCATTCATCAAGGCAAAACTGTTTTCAGGAGAAAGTTTACTTTCACATGTTATCAGAAAGCCCCCTTTTGTTTTGAGAAAACTGACAGTATGCTACTCATATTTGAGAGATTATGGAACCATTACAACATGAAACAATATAGGGCAGAAAATGCATATTCAGTGTTTAGGGTATTTTCCTGAGATGGTAAAAAAAATGTCATTCTAACAAACCTTTTCTTTTCTGCAGAAAATACACGGTAGAGAACCTCTGTGCAAGTAAAGAAGATGAAGTAAAATATAAAGATGATCAATGTGAAAAATATTCCTGCTGGATTGCAAATGTTACTAGTCTTAATGGAACTCCTGGTATAAATCCTTTTAAATTTCATGAGGGTGGTGATCATGAATTTAAGCATGAGGTCAAAATTCTCGGTGGATACAAACAATACCTGTGTAAGAAATCTGGAGAAAACTGCAGTAGTCCCTGTTGTTTAAAGTCTCATTCAGAATTACTTACTGGAGAGAAACTGTGTAACTGTATATATTGTGGGAAACACCGTAGTTGTTCCTCACCCCTCACTGAATGTCTAAGGACTCACAGTGGTGGAGACACGCCTTGTATACGTGAAGAACGTGGGAAAGCCTTTCCTCGGTCTTCACAGCTCATTGAATCTAAAAGAAAACAGTACACGAAGAACTCTTATAAATTTACTGAATTTGGGAAAGCATTTATTTGCCCCTCAGTACTAACTAGACATATAGGAACTCACAGTAGAGAGAAACCTTATGAATGTACGGAATGTGACAAGGTTTTTAGAAATTCCTTCTTAAATAGTCTTCTAGGAACTTATAGTAGAGAGAAACATGAGTATAAGGAATGTACAAAAGCATTTTATTTGAGTTCTAATCCCACTAGACATACACAAATTCACATTGGTGAAAGACCTTATGTATGTACAGAATATGGGAAAACCTTCAGGCAGTCCTCACACCTTACTGAGCATAATAGAATACACAATGGAGAGAAGTGTAATGAATTTAAGGAATTTTGGCAAGACTTTCAGCAGTCTGTACCACAAGTTAAACATATAAGGAGTTGCGAGAGAAAGAGGACTTATGTATGTATGCAGTGTGGGAAAACATTTTATTCAAGCTTAAATCTCATTGGACATATAAGAACTCACAGTGGTGAGAAACCGTATGAATGTATGGAGTGTGGGAAGTCCTTTAGACATTCCTCATCACTACGTACACATGTAAAAACTCATAGTGGAGAGAGACATTATAAATGTGAGGAATGTAGGAAAACATTTTATCGGGGCTCAGAACTAACTACACATATAAGAACTCACAGTGGAGAGAGACCTTATGGATGTGAAGAATGTGGGAAAGCCTTCAGGCAGTCCTCACACCTTGCTGAACATAAAAGAACACACAGTGGAGAGAAACCTTATAAATGTAAGGAATGTGGAAAAACTTTTAGCTATCCTTCAAAACTAGCTAAACATGTAGTAACTCATAGTGGAGAGAGGCCCTATGAATGCAAGGAATGTGGGAAAGCCTTTAGCTATCCTTCAAAACTAGCTAAACATATAGAAACTCACAGTGGAAAGAGGCCTTATGAATGTACAGTATGTGGGAAAGCCTTTAGACACCCCTCAACACTAAAAGGACATAGAAAAACTCACAGCGAAAGGAGGCCTGAATGTAAAGTATGTGGGAAAACGTTTTATTCAAGCTCAAATCTAACTAGACATATGAGAACTCACAGTGGAGAACGACCTTATGAATGTATGGAGTGTGGGAAAACCTTTGGACATCCCTCAACACTACGTGCACATATAAGAACTCATACTGGAGAGAGACCTTATGAATGTAAGGAATGTGGGAAAATGTTTTATCAAGGCTCAGAACTAGCTAAACATCTAAGAATCCACAGTGGAGAGAGACCTTATGTATGTAATGAATGTGGGAAAGCCTTTAGGCTGTCCTCATGCCTCACTTTACATAAAAGAACACACAGTGGCGAGAAGCCTTATAAATGTAAGGAATGTGCGAAAGCCTTTAGTCATTCTGTAGCACTAAGAAGACATATAAGATGTCACAGTGGAGAAAGGCCTTATGTATGTAAAGAATGTGGGAAAACCTTTATTCAGTCTTCAAATCTTATTCAACATAAAAGAACACACAGTAAAGAAAATCCTTATAAATGATTGAAGATTGAGAAAGCCTTCAGTTATCCCTAAACACTAAGAATGGAAAATGGAGAGAGAGGTCTTATGAATAATGAATGTGTGGAACCTTTTAGTTCACCCCCACACCTCACTCAATAGAAAAGTTACACATGGTAGAGTGAAATCTTTTCAGTGTAAGGAGTGGGGGAAAACATTTAATCAGACTATCCCCCTCTCACCAGAAAACGCCCTACAAAGTGTTTTTGTATATAAATAAATGTGGAAAGAGCCTTTGCCATTCCTCCCTCAAGGCACATATTGTAGAAAAATATGTGTCATGATATGAGAAAGCCTATCCCTTTCTCATGACTCTTAGATAACATTAAATCCAAGTGGAGAGAGCTCTTATATATGTAAGTAATGGGAAGAACTCTTCACTTCTCCCTGAGCTGTTTTAACATTCACTGGCTTCAAAAAGGTACATTTGTACTAATGTTGGAAAGCCTTGTCTTTTTGAAACTCTGAAAGTATATGTGATAAAAACCACATAATATAAAGTGTTAAGGAAAAGGTTTTGCTTTCTCCCCACTACTTGCCAAGATGGTAAGGATTCACAGACATGGACATTTTCACTAATTACTACTTCTGGATGTAGGAGAAGTCACATTTCAAATAAATCATATATATATAAGGAACATTGAAACATTTTGGGGTTTTTTGGAATTCTTAGAAGACATAAGTGGTAGAGGAACCTTATTCCACTCAAGTTTATTGCATGAAGGTGCTCAGATCTCTTGTTCTGTGGGTGGCCAAGTCCCCTGTTGTTGTTTACTGGTTTTGTGTAACTGTCATCTTGTGTTGCTTCCTGTGTTATAGGATGCTCTGTCTTCGGGATCTAGAAGGTTCTTAATAGAAATCCAAGGTCCAACAGATGTGCTCAGCTACAGGTTCTTTCTGGAAGTGATAGTCCATCACTACTTAAAACTGGGTTTGGCTCTTTTAAAGCCTAATTGGGTGGCAAAACTGACTTGGTAGGGCAATGACACTTTTTTCCCATAGTCTCATCCAATCAATTTGTTGGAGTTACAAGACCATGACCAGAAAGGCCATGTATAAGGGAACATGTCTTGTACTAAGATTTACATTTTGGTTTCCAGTTTGCTCTTCCTTCCCATTGTAACATTAAAATACCTGTTCTGTCTCCTGATATCAATGTTCCATGGTCCCCTGACACCAATTTCAAATGCAAGTTCTGTCTCTTAACAGGTTAAAAGGCACAATCTTTGAAACTTATCAATACACCATACTGCAGGTGCCACTGTTTTTAGGTGCCCCAGGGTATAAATATGTGGAGGTGGAGGTTTCTGGCTTCTGGGTGAGAAAACTCATGAACAACAGCTCAAGCCTAATTTCTTTCTTTTTTTAAAAAGTCATTTTATTGGTTCGTACAACTCTTATCACCATCCATCCATCCATCCATCCATTGTGTCAAGCACATTTGTACTTTTGTTGCCCTCATCATTCTCAAAACATTTGCTTTCTACTTGAGCCCTTGGTATCAGCTCATTTTCCCCTCCCTCCCCACTCCCAGCCCCCTCCCAAGCCTAATTTCTATGATGCAGAGACCAGACACCTCCTCTCTTCAATTTTTTTTACAAAGTCTGACACCAGATGTCCTTTTGGTTGTATGTTCTATAGCTGCTGAGTTCAGTAATTTATTGCAGTGGTCACAGAGAACACACCACACTCACAGTTAAGAGGTTTATTCAGAAAACACACACACAAAAGAGGTTTACTAAGGAAGCAATAGGTTACAATTCAGGTTCAGGAACACTAAGGATACAGTTTTTTTGTTGTTTTTTTTTCAATCAGAACAGTCTTTTCTCAGTCTTGCTCATAGGAAGCTTTCTCTCTAATCCTTGGCCCCTTGGCCTGACCTTTGACCTAGTTAGCCAAGTGTTAGCAAGGCTCTTTTGTTTTTGCCATGAGTTCCCTTCATCAGTCACTTGACAGAAGGCATTGTTGCTAAATGCTATAGGTCATTAACTATGCTATCACCAATTAACAGTACCCTTCTTTGCCTGTGAACCTCTTGCCCAAAGGCAGTTTATTTTTTGCTCCAAATGTCTCTTGTTAGCATATCAATGCTGAACCCACTGAGAGAGCAGAATTACAAAAAAATTATTTAAGGGAAGTGATATCAGAAAGGGTTAGCAAACAAATCATTCACTCACTACTTGGTCTAAAGTAAAACTCCACTTTATACATAAAGTCAAATATTAAATGGAGAGAAAAGGGCCACAAAACATTAGCAGCCAAATTTATCCCAACTGTGGAACTGGTCTAAGGTTTACACCAACCAAACTAACAGTTTCAAGTAAAAGGTAACTAATGTTAGGTCAGCTTTGTGCTAGTCTCTTATCTATCTATACCTAGAACACTACTGTTTGGCTTTTAGTTTGTGATGGTTGTGTGTGGCTATGATACTGAGAGCTTATGTCACTGGTATTGCAAATACCAGAAATCTAACCTAGAATGGAGAGGTTTCATCAGAGTTTCTAGACTAAGAACACACTACGAAGGATTAGGTTGTCCACTTTGGAAGAATTAGCTGTGGAACATTGTCAGATACTGGAAACCTCTGGAATATCAGTAGAACATTGTCAGATATAGATCAGTTCCTCAGGTCAGCACTCAATATGCAACTGAGGAAGAGTTGCTTTGTTAAAGTAGTATTGACAATAATGATGTAGATGGAGTAAAACGTTCAGGATCGCTTGTTGATGGGCCATGACTCAGAATGAGAAGAAACTGCAAACATACATTAATAAATGGAACTTCAAATACATGAAGTATGAATCCAGGAAAATTTGAAATTAAAATTAAAATGGCATACATAAAAGATTGATAACATTATTGAGCTGAAATGGACTGGTATTGCCAGTTTTGAATTGGAAAATCAGTTTTCTATGCTGGGGATGACAGATTCAAGAGGAATGGTACCCCATTCATCTTCAAAAATGACATTTCAAGATCTATCATGAAGTACAATTCGGTTTGTGAGAGGATAATGTCTACCTGCTTACAAGGAAATCCAATCTATGCAAATACTCAAGTTTATGCACCAACCACTAAAGCTAGTGATACAGAAATTGAACTCTACTAATGTCTTCAGTCTGATATTGATCAAACATGCACTCAAGGTGCATGATAATTTTGGGCAACTGGAATGCAAAACAGGAACAAAGAAGAAGGAACCGTAGTTGGAAAATAAGCTTGAGGTGACAGAAACAAAGCTGTAGATCCCATGACAGAATTTTTCAACACAAAGGACTTGGTTACAGCAAATACCTTTAACAACACAAAAAGTGACTGTAGGTGGACTTCTCAAGATGGAATACAGAGAAATCAAATTAAATCCAACTGTGGGAAGAGACAATGGAGAAGATCAACGTCAGTTGTTAAAACCAGGTCAGGTCTGACTAGGACAGACCATCCATTGCTCATAGGTAAATTCAGGTTGAAGCTGACAAAAATTAAAGCAAGTCTATGAGCCAAAATAGGACCTTGAGTCTATCCCACTTGGATTTGGAGGACATCATAGGTCCACATTTGCTTCAGTGAACACCATGACAAACCCTGGAGAGCTGTGGTTAACATAAAAACATACGTGAGGAGAGACAAAAGTCATTACAAAGACAAAAGGTCAAAGTAGATGTCAGAAGAGACTCAGACTCTGAAACTGCCTCTTAAATGTAGAGTAGCTAAGGCTTACAAAACAAATGATGAAGTCAAAGAACTGAACAGAAAATTTCAAAGGGAAGCCTGAGGGAAAGTCAAATAATTACACTGAAGATTTCAAAGATCCAGAGTTACAAAACCAAACAGGAAAAAGATGTTTTTCTTAAAAAAAACTCAAGATGAAAATCCAAGCCTCTAGTTTTAATATTAGGGACCCCTGGTGCAGTGATTCCATGTTGGGCTGTGATCCACATGGTTGGCAGTTTGAAATCACCAGCAGCCCCACAGGAGAAAGACTGGGCTTTCTACTCCTGTAAACAGTTACAGTCTTGGAAACCCACAGAGGATCGATATGAGTCAGCACTGACTCAGTGGCAGTGAGTTGAGTTGCAATATTGAAGGATTCTATGGGGCAAATCCATTTTGACAAGCATTGCCATGCCAGCGTTATAAATGAAGAAAAGGTTGACGTTGTCAAGTATTTTGTCTTGCTTGGATCCACAATCAATGCTCATGGAAGCAGCAGTAAAGAGATCAAAAGACGAGTTGCATGAGATAAGTCTGCACAAGATCTCTTTATTGAAAAGCAAGGATGTTACATTGAAGACAAGGTGTACCAAGCCATGGTATTTTCAATCGCCTCATGTGAAAGTTGGACATTGAATAATGTTCAGAGAAGAATAGATGAATTTGAGTTGTGCTGGAAGGGAATATTGAAAGACGACTGCTAAAAGGGCAACCCCATACATCTTTGAAGTATGGCCAGAGTGTTCCTTAACGGCAAGGATGGTGAGACTTCATCTTACATCCTTTGGATGAGTCAGGAGAGACCAGGAGAAAGACGCCATGTTTGGTAAAACAGAGGGACAAAGAAAAAGATGAAGTCCTCAAGGAGGTGGATTGATGACATGGCTGCAACAATGAGCTTTGGCATGGAAACAATTGTGAGGATGACATAGTATGGGCAGTGTTTCATTCTTTTGTGCATAAGGTCACTGGGTCGGAACCACCTTCATGGCACCTAACAACAACAGTAATGGGCAAAATATTGAATGATAGGAAACATCAAAAGAAGATGTAAAGAAGACAATCACTGTACAAGAACACATAAAAAAAATACACTCTACCACAGGGGTGGCTCAATATATCGATCGTGATCTACTAGTCAATCGCAAATGTAGGGTGGGTAGATCGCATGGCATTACAAAAATAGACAGAAGCCTATCATCAATCCCGTCACTTCATTGTTACACAGTACAGCCAATCAGATGCAATCGTAGGCGTCAAACGTTTGCGCAAACAACTACACTAAATGCAGCAAAACTGACAAGCTAAGTTATCGTCAATTTTAAGCCTTTTCCCCCCCTCTTAAACGTAAGAAAGGGTATTAAAATGAGTGGGGGAGCTGCACCAAGTAAGAAGACACAAACATAACACTTTCATACAGAATGAGAGATATTGACACTACAAGCCAACATTCAGCTGAAGTCCAGAGCGCATGAATAGTTGTGGAATTTACTCGCAGAGGGAAAGTACCCAAACATGAGAAAATGTGCTACCTCCTGGGCTGCATTATTTGGCTCTACTTATTTGTGAGTCAGTCGTTTCCCACATAAAAATCAAGTTCAAATACCGTTCCACCATGACTGATGATCATTTGGAAGTGTGCTTGAGGCTGGCTGTCAGCAGCTACTGTCCGGACTATGCATCCCTGGATCACTCCATTCAGTGCAAGTCATCGGAGTAAACTCAGGTCATGACAAAATGTACATAGTTAATTGTGTTGTGTTGTGCAATATGGAATCGTGATTATGCAAGGTACATAAACATACATTATACATATAAAGAACTCTCAATGCATCTATGAATAAATGACTTAATGGCAGTGGAAGATGTCATCATCCCCAAGGAGATGATTCATAATGTTCTTTAACCTAAAATGACTGATATCTCTAAGGTAAACCAGATACATATATAAACCATACATGCATGAATGGATTTTGGGATTGCACTTAATTTTAGCCCTAATCTAAACAATTCTTTTGGCCCTGCTTGATGCTTGACCTCATATAGCAAAGTGGTGAAGAGACTAGATGGTGCCTGGTATCAGAAATAAGAGTGCCTGGGGTCTTAATGGCTTGTTTCAAACAAGCACCCATCTCAGTGAGATGCCAATTAAACCTACATGGAAGAAGCACACCAATTTGTGTGGTCCAAGGATTGTAAATAATATAGTACAAATCTAAAGAGGTGAATGGCATCAGAACTTAAATTGTGAATACCTACCTGGTTGGCAGAAGGCTATGGGCAACAGTGGAAGCCCAAAATCCATTTGCAGGGTCTAAACATGGATTAAGCCTCTGATGAATCTCCTGTGATCATAGTTGAGAGCTGTGGATAACCCTGTTATCAGACAGCATTATAAAGTTGATCATAGCAGACATACTTTGGTAAAAATGTACTATC